CCCACACCAACCAAAAAGGTGTAAAAGGTCAGTCTACATCTCCCTTTCACACCAAACTATAGCTGAAAATGATTACCACTTCCACATATTTGCAACGAATTCAAAAATTCCTCATAAAATCCTCTACTTTCACCTGTAGTTTACTTGGTTTTATAGACATATCCATGTAGTTCCTATAAAACATTATAAGTGTCATACTTATGGTATACCACTGCTTTCACACTTGCTCTTATCTCCTTTGAAATTTCACAATTTTCTTATGCTTATGTCTGACATAACATTGCAAAGCCTCACAGTAATTCAGGGCTAAAAATGCTCTATCCATGTTCATATCCATGCTCAAATCAATTGGTTAACTTTTTCTTTTTAATTCCTTATCTCATGTTGACTCTTCACTTAGGTTTTCTCTTATAACAACAATTCAGACACTGTTTTTTTGTGATAGCATAAAACTATAGCCTCCTTTTGCTCTTTCGTTACTGTTAAGCAATTGACACTCCAATATAAGCCAATTTACGTGTTTTGGTCGATAACTTCCACTGCATACATTCTTCTACATTTTTCCTATTCTACTTTGTTATGATGGCCTACACATTAATACAAACTTATCAGTAGCAACAATAGGAACAACGTTTCTGTCTACCAGCAAATCTATCAGTCCATATTTGCAGTTTCTAACATACTTTAAACTGTGTAATTGCAGGAACTACCTCGCACCATTTTGTGACTTTTGCTTATGATAGGGACAATATAATGAACAACTCTCCCTATGCTGTGCTTTATTTCATGAGGAAGATTAACTATGCACAAGCAAACTGCAGTCTCTTCTAAATATGATACTGCAACATGTATATTGTTTTTATTATGTTCCATTAGTTAGTATGTGCCAATAGTTCAACTCGACATCATACTGATGTGTATTGTACATATTCTGAATATTTCTAATAGTACATATTATAATATATGCTATTATCTATCTTCTATAAACACCCTAACCCTTAATTCATTAACATAACAACACTTTTACAAGCATAATACTTTGACTATTGGGCCCGTGCTTGCCACGGGCCTCCCTACCCTAGTAGTAGTATAAATAAATGTTATTTAGATTGGTTCAATGCATACAAGCTGGCCACAAAATCACAATAATATCTGTATAAATAAATAATAATATTACATTATATGTATATATACAATATAAAAGAAAGTAATAAACTTGACAATTCAATAACATTCTTTTCTTGTACATATATAATATTTCTTAATTAATTTTTAATACTAAAAAACAAAAATTTCAACGGTTATCCGATTATAAATTTGATTTGTTGGATCAATAACATGTTCAACGAATCGAAAATTCATTGTTTAGTAATAATATATCTTCTTATACGCTACTTACTGTGTAATTTGATAAGCCTAAATTTGTGTGTTAAATAGAAGTAATATTTTTTAGATATTATTATATAGAGTTCGATACTTAATTTGATCTATCAAATCAAAGATTTAAAGATTGAAATTTAATCATCGTTTAACTCGTGCAAAACTAATACCCTTTTATATAGAATGATATTATATCTTTTTACAAATAATATCTTAAATTTCTCAAAACAAACATTATCTCGAATTAATTTTTATTTAAAAAAAAAGAAAGAAAGGAAGAAAAGGAAACAGGCAAGAACATCAATGTGGACTTTAAAGTGGACTCGATTGGATTGTGGTGACCCGAATACCCATCAACCCATATCCGTTTCAGCTGGAGCTCTGGTGGCGTCACGGCTACAAGCCGGATAAATAAATTCTAGATCCTTCTGGAATGTTATAACGAGCTGGCAAATATTAGATTCGACCCGATTTCCCCTCCGGTTCACATTTCGTCATTCAGCTAAATCTCTGGCCAAAGTTGACACTTGACACCACTCACTCTCCTTTGCTCCTTCCGATCTCTATCTCCGGCGAACTCCTGCTTGTAAGTTTCCGTCGTTATCTCTCCGGCAGAATCATGCTATGATTTTTAATCTGTTGAAAATCAATCGTAAATTTAGTCTTAAAAATGTTTTTCTATAGTTTGATTCGTATGAATAGAATTATAAGTTTATTGCTCTCTTGTTTGCGTGATGTCTACAAAGTTTTGATGGTTACTAGTCAGTAGTTGCCGTCAGTTTCCTCAACATTTTATCCAAGAAAATGAGGGGAAAAAAGATTAAGGTAATACATATCAATCATCTTTCAGATTTTCGCTGAACTTTTCATTTTGATGAAGTAAGTAGATTCATTTAAAGGCATCAAGAAGATGCAAGCTTTACAAGGATAGCTAAATTAAGCTCACAACACTAAGGATATGTAGCTAAAGTCGAAATCTTGCTAGTAGGTTTCCATTGTTATCTCTCCGGCAGAATCATGTTATGATTTTTAATCATAAATTAGGTTAAAATGCTTTGTATAGTTTGATTTGTATGAATGTTCCAATCTCAATTTTGTGTATTCATTTCTTGCTGTTTTTGCTTTACAAGCTAATGTACGCTCCTGTTTGCGTGTTGTCTACAAAGGTTTGATTTTTGATGGTTACTAGTCGTCAGTTTCCTCAACTTTTTATCAAAGAAAATGAAAAAAGATAAAGATTAAGGCAATACATATCTTGCCGAACTTAAAGCTTTGGCTGTTGTTTGACCTTATGTGTAGTATCATTGAGGGTTAGAAGTTTGATTCCACTTTTGGATTTGAATTACTGGAATCTCATATGTGCCTTCATGTTTCCTTGATGTATACAAAGTTTTGATGGTTACTAGTCGGTGTTTGCGTCAGTTTCCTCAATATTTTATCCAAGAAAATGAGGGGAAAAAAAGATTTAAGGCAATACATATCAATCATCTTTCAGTTTTTGGCTGAACTTTTCTTTTTTGATGAAGTAAGTAGAATCATTAAAGGCATCAAGAAGATGCAAGCTTTACAAGGATAGCTTAGTCAAGCTCACAAACACAAGGATTTGTAGCTTCTTCCTAAACTATAGAGCTAACAACATCCAAGAAGAGTTCTAAATTATTTACAAGGGTCAATCTGGATCAGCTGAAAAGGCTAACTTAGACATCTGCTTCGCAAAAGTTTTCTAGAAGTTGAAACTCCATCAAAACATTGTTTGTTCCTCTTGTCCATAAACACCAAAAGAGAGCACCAGGGATCATCAGCCAGATAGTCTTGATGGCTTTGCCAACTTCCCAAGAACTCCAACTTTCAAGAGCATCCCTAATAGAGAAAGGCATGACCCAAAAAACAGCAAAACATAATCCAAAGGTCTGATGCAATTGGGCAGTGCAGTAGCTAGTGGTAGACACTTTCTGTGTGCTTGTGGCAGAAGTAGCATCGGTTGGCAAGCTGGAATTTCTTTTTGCAGAGATTATCCTGTGTGAGGCTTTTTTTACCGAACTTAAAGCTCTTAGCTTCTGTATGACCTTATGTGTAGTGTTATTGAGGATTAGAACTTTGATTCAACTTTTGGATTTGAGATACTGGAATTTCATATTTACTGCGACCTAGCCGATGGAAGCTGTATTCATATTTATCACTTGGTTTTAGGCTTGATTCTGGGGAAGTGCTGTCCCATCACCATTTAGATATTGCAATTCCACATAGCAGATCACATGTATAAGATCAACAGGGCAGGTTCCATGGACCAAAAGATATTGTAGGAGCTCACAAAGGTCCATTTATAGGTTAGGCTATCTAGCCTGTAAACCATTGTTTAGATATGTCAATAACTCATAAATGAAGTCCCAGCTGAGACATAAATGTTGAACATTTACTTATAAAAAGAAAAAGTTGAACATTTAGGGATTATATAGAAAGTACCATTTCAAATGATTGTATTATGAATTTACTAGTCTTGGTTAAAGATCCATTGTTTCATCTCTTGAGAAGCAAAAAAACAAGATTAAAGGAAACAAGCTCTACAGTATTGAAAAGGAAAGCATAACTAAAGAAATGGCGTAATTTCTTTCTCAAAAAAGAAATTGTCGGCCATAAATTGCAAACTTAAGCTGTATGGGCACATCATATGGTGTACCCTAGTTTCCAAACACAATTGGCATGTTGGATAAGATTTTACTGTCTTATGACCTGAATAAATTACTGTTTAATATCAGCTGCTTTTTTCTTGACCTGTGAGAGTGAAAGTTGCGTTCAAGGGATTGCCTGGCCTTCACTGAAGTCCAAAACCAAGTACAAATATGCTGAAAGTTGAGCTATAGAAAAGTGTTTATGAAGTTACAACAATCAGTTTGTTCTCTTAAAAAGCTATTGGTAAATGCCAAGAGAATCCCCATCTCCTACGGGTTTGGTTGAACAACAAAGGTTGTGAAATGTGGAATGCAAAATGTGCCAAGTTTTGTATTTAAGTGGAGAAGAGCAGATGTACAAGCCCATTATCCCCAAATTTTCTCGGTCATAATTTTTTTTTGACAATAGAGTCCACAGACCGTGCCACTATATTTATTTCATTAGTCCTTTGTTTGTGGTTCTGTCCAAATCTACATATTTACTTGCCACAACTATACCATCATTAACTTGACATGAGTGAAACGAGGATGCATCTTAAAAATTCAAGTGTTGTCTACAATCGAAGGCAGAGTAGAATTTGAAATTTGAATGGAAATAAAATTAATTTTTTTAAAAAATAAATAAATTTGAATGGAAATAAATCTTGCAGGAGGGAATGGGAGGGGGTGAGAGAAAAATTGGTTAGTGGATTTTTCTTTTTTCACATAATCTCATGTAGGTTGGGGATTGATCATTGATGTGCATCTCGGGTTTATGATTTTCCGGGCTTCAACGTTCGCTTGTTGCTGGTTTTACATCACTGATATTCTTACAGTACCTACAAAAAAAGATTTGGGCTTCACCTTGGTATTAAAGGATGTGCAAAAATATTCTTCTTTGCTTTTTCCTGCCTGCGAAATAAGTTTCTACATTGTATTCATTTTCTGGAACTACATAGAGCTTTTGTGAAGTGAACAGCTCTTGGTACTGAATTACAATTTAACTGTTGTATCCGATTCATTCATGATTTTGCCATCCTTGGTCATTTTTAATGGATTCGCTTCTAAATTGTTTGAGTTTTAGTTTATTTTGCTTCTTTTTTGAGGTGGGTGGGGGTGAGGGTGAGGGTGCATGTGGGAGGGTAAGGTTTTATTTTGCTGCTAATTATGCTTTCAAAGAATATTCTATCTTTGCTGCTCATGAATCTATATGTATGATTTACGTATTGTCAACTTCTCAAAAAAATAAAAATAAATAAAATGAATGATTTGCATATTGGCTGGTCTAGGCCTTCATTTATATCTGTGGGTGGATGGTCTACCTTCCTGCCAAGGAGTTTTGGTTTTGCAGTTGCTCCTTAGTGATAGTTTGTCTCAACTATTTTGCATGGTGCTCCATAAATGCTTACCATCCATCAGAGTTTTCTCTTCAGATAGTTGTTGTTTCATCAGAGTTTTCTCTGCAGGTAGTTGTTGTTTCTGAAGTCTCATGGCTGATCAGCAAGCAGTTGAAGGGTCAAGCACAAGTAATGATTCTGGTGGAAGTTCTGAATCAACCGTGGTGCTCAACATCAAGACCTTAGATTCCCAGACGTATACTTTTAACGTGGATAAGAATGTAAATTTTGTTACTTACTCTGTTTCTGTTGCGAGTTATGCTGAAAAAGAGTATTTACTACCATGCTTATTCAGTTACATGTGGAGCTTTCTTAAATTTATGCTACTTCTGGAAAGTGATTTTTTCCCCTTTATGCTTGTCAGAAATAATATATTGAAATGTAGAGACCTTTTCTCGAATAAAAGCTTATTGATATGAAGTTAAATGTGGATTTTAGCACTTGGAATCTTTTATCAATCACGTGCACTGTACTTCTCTGATACAGCTCTTATTTGGAACTCATTGTCTACTTTACTTCTCTATCATATCTCAATCTCAGTTGCAAGTTTCAGCCTTGAAGGACAAACTAGCAAGTCAGATTGGTGTACCTGTTGAGCAGCAAAGACTAATTTTTAGGGGCAAGGTCTTGAAGGATAATCACCTTCTTTCTGAATATCGTATCCTATCAACTGAGGATTTCAAGTTCCCCCCTCATTTTGTGTCTGCAGTTCGAGCAGTCTTTGCTGGAAATATTTTCTTCTCTTCAAAATTTGTTGGTCAGAGATTTCTGTTAGATGTTTGTATATGTGCATTTAGCTCCTTACATCTCTCTTGAGGTAATTTCCAGGATTTCACCATTTCACATAAGCTTGTCCTACCTTTTCTGTTTCAAAACTCATAGCTAATTTTTAAATGCTTTGAAATTTTCTGAACTGATTCAGAAAGAAGCTCTAACTTGTGGTCATTGAGGGTGAAGTACACTGGAGTTCATGAAAATATAAAAGATTTGAACATGAAAACCCCTTCAAGTGAGATTACGCAACTACCACAAACCTGAACTGGGGCATAGTTCGAAACTCGGTGGATAATGGGCTCTCCCTCTACTCTCCACTTAAATATTAGGCTTATTGTCTGTGGAAGGGCTCAAACTCATGATGTGTGCCTTATGTAGAAAGCAAGAGTAGGAATGAATCTAATGGAAAATTAGGTCTCTGTTTGCTTGGAATATTAATCTCAAGAGGGTAATACTTGTTGACTTTTGGTAATGCAACAAACCTAAATACCTCAAGATATCATTTGCAACAAACCTAAATACCTCTAGATATCATATCTTTGCTGATCCTTTACCCTGGTCATCTAGAAGGGTGTCCATGTTGGTAAGTAAGCTTAGTGAGTTGTTTCCAACTAACAAATTGATTGGTTTCTCACCTCTTAAGTCCTATCATGTCTATGATTAATTTTAGAGAGTTATCTTTGACCAGCAGATTAGTTGATACTTCAATGTTTTGTTTACATACAACTTTACATGATTAGATGTAATATTTTTGCAAAAAATGGAGCCTCTTTCATCTACAACTTTTGGGTTTCTTGCCAAAGCTTAACTCTTTCCAGATGTGGAAAATGAGGACACACTACATTTAGTGCTGAGGCAGTCTCAATTGCAAGCTCCATCAGGTAGCAGCACTGGCGAAGCTACTACTAACAATGCTAACAGAGGTAAAGGCTTCATGATCTGAAATTTAGGCTCTCAGGTCATTTGGCTGATTTGTTAGTCAGACGGGTAACAAACAATCTTATCATCTTTGAGTATCACAGGACAAGAGCCTCAACCCACTGCTGGAGGCTCACGGAATCGTATCGGGCAGATTTCACACAGTGTTGTCCTTGGAACTTTTAATGTTGGAGATCCGGGGGAAGGACTTGTGCCTGATCTTAATCGGGTGGGTTGCATAGGAGTTGCAAGATTTTTTAATCACTGTTATTTGAGTTGATTTGAGAGAATCTTATAACAGAAAAAAGTCCAACTTTATAGGTTATTGGGGCAGTTTTAAACACTGTAGGGATTGGGAACATGACTGGTGGCCAGCTTCCCGGTGTGCAGGTTTTTTTCCCACCTTTTTCTCTTATCTTTCAGATCTCTTAGATTCACCTGCTACCTTTATATTTTACTGGAATTTCTCTCTATTGTGTCATTTGTGCGATGAGCCCTTTCAAGTTTCAAAGTTACAGGACTTCCACATATATGGGACCTTTAATTTCACTTATGTTCACCTAGCAAGGTGCTGAAGAATTTCATTTGCCATTGTTCATTGCTTCCTCCCTTATCTTTGCTTGGTGGGTTGGTTTGTGAACAGGCCAGCGCTCCAGCTTCTCGCCCTCAAGGAAATGAGAGTTTAAGTCAGTCAGGAAGTCAGCAATCTGGGCAGGCATTTTCTGGTCAATCTTTGCCACAAGTAGTGCAAATTCCACTGGGGGCAGCAATAGCTGTCCCCTCAATTAATTTGGTAGAATGTCTTTCAGATATTATGTTTTTTGTCTCATGTTTTTCATGGCCATGTTTGACTCTTTTTTTTTTCTTTTTGCATGTTGAAGCCCCTTTTGGATTCCTTGATCACGCTTTCTGAATTCATGGATGGGATGGAGCATGTATTCTCACGGAACGGTGGGGATTTTTATTGTTTTTGCTTCTTCTCTTGTGGTGAATGGATTTCTGAAAGACTTTGCATTCTCTTACCTCAGGTTACCCGCCGAACCAGTCACCTAATAATGTGGGAGATCCACCTGCAGTACAGTTGCCTACACATGATCGTGGCTTATCGAGTCCAGAAGTGTTGAGCCTTGCGCTGCGTCAGGCAGAGCGCCTCTTTGGTGCTCAAGTCATTGCAGCATTATCTGTATGTACCATGACCATAATATCTCTTTTTTTGGTATTAAGCTGTGAAACACTACCATTGAAAACAAATATTTGATACACCTAAAGAGCCTCTTGTGCCTTAACCATCTTCTAGGAAGGGGGTGTTAAGACAACTAGATCTCCAATCACAAGAACAATAAACTAGTTACCTAATCCTTGAATCAAAATTTAACATCTATGAGCTCTCTTTGAACATTGTCACTATCCAATCCTCTCTCTGATCTCTTTTTGTATCTGTGCAATGGCAAAAGTAGTATTTACAATTGTTTGCTTCAACAGCTTCCACTTTCTTACTTGCCATGTGTAGTATATCATTGCTCCCCGTATAGCAGAAATTGTTTGCAGTGCCTTCCATTGATCCATAAAATGATCTCCTTTTTATTATTAAGGTTCTGCCCCATTCCTGTTTCCTTTCCCTCTAGTATCTGCATGGTTCTAGTGTTACTGTTAAAAAATCAACGGGCAAGAAGCATCTTTGACTATGATTGATAGCAACATGTACTGTGTAATGCACATATTTTAGCTAATCCGGGCACACCGTATCTTGGCGGAGTTCCTAGCTTGAGCTTTTCAGTCTTGCAATTTTGCTCAGAGCTTGACCAGTTTTACTGGAGACCGGCTTTATTTTGTTAAAATCAAAGCCTTTGAAGGAAAATGACTATTTTTTGGCATGAAAGGACCAAAGTGCAAAACCTTTAAATCTTTATCAACGAAAGGAGGGGGGGGGGGGGGTGGGGT